GAAGGTCTTTAGAATGGACAATGGTGGAGAATATGTGTCCAAGGAGTTCAATTGTTTTTGCAAAGACTCTGGGATTCCTCATCAGCTCAATGTTTCTCACACTCCTCAACAGAATAGAGTTTGTGAAAGGAGGAATATAATTGTTTTGAATATGTCAATATGCATGTTGTTTGAAAAACATCTTCCCAAATCTTTTTGGGCAGAACTGTCTCTACTTCTGTGTATTTGTTGAATAGGTTATCAACCAAGGTTATGAATGGGAAAACTCCTCTTGAAGCATGGTCTGGGTCTAAACCATCTGTGGAACACCTTAAAGTGTTTGGTTCAATCTGCTTCAGTCATATACATTCCAATATGAGGTCCAAGTTAGATAAAAGGGCTTGGAAAGACATTTTCATTGGTTATTCTTATCAATCTAAGGGGATAGAGTCTTCAATCTGGAAAGCAGGAAAGTTGTAGTAACTAGAGATATCGCTTTTGATGAAGGTTCTTATTGGAATTGTGAGAAGCATGATGTGAAAAAACATGATAAACCAATGGTTGAAGAAGTTGTTACAACCGATGATATTGAGAATGATGAAAATAGTGATAGTTTTGATACAGCAGATACGACTGACGCTGAGGTTGTCAAAACCAAATCCTTAGCTGATGTGGATGAAAGGTGCAACTTTATATTTGTTGAACCAACAAGTTTTATTGAAGCTTCAAAGGTACCTGAATGGATTGATGCAATGAAGGCAGAAACTTCTGCAATTGAGAAAAATGGTACTTGGTTCTTGATTGATCAACCTAACGACAAGAATGTTATAGGTGTGAAGTGGGTGTGTAGGGCCAAGTTCACTCTGGATGGAACTATGTTCAAGCATAAGGCAAGGTTGGTTGTAAAGGGGTATGCACATATAGGTGGAGTTGACTATGGTGACACATTTGCACCGGTTGCTAGACCCGATACCATAAGATTACTCATTACCATTGCAAGGCAATTGGGTTGGAATGTGTTTCATTTTGATGTAAAGTCTGCCTTCTTAAATGGAGTGCTTGAAGAAGACATATATGTTAATTAACTTGAAGGTTTTATAGTTGCTGGAAAGAAGCATCAAGTGTACAAGCTCAAGAAAGCTTTTTATGGCCTAAAACAAGCACCAAGGGCTTGGTATTATCGAATTGATCCTAATTTGCAGAAGTTGGGTTTTCAAAGGAGCATTAATGAAGCTACTTTGTATCTTAAGAAAGATGAGAATGCTGATTTTATTGTTATTTCCCTTTATTGTTGATGATTTTTTGGTGATGGGAAGCAATGACAAAGTTGTTTCAAAATTCAAGTTGAGTATGCAAGAGGAATTCGAGATATCTAATCTTGGCTTGACGAGCTACTTTCTTGGGATGGAAATTAATCAAAGCAAGGCTGGTATTTTCATTTCACAACAAAAATATGCCTTAGATGTTCTAAGGAAATTTAAATTGGAATCTTGCAATGGGAGTTGATTCACCATTTCCTTTAAACTTGAAGTTGTCAAAGAACGATGGTAAAAAACTCGGTGATCCTTTTATTTTCAAAAGCATAGTTGGAAGCTTACTTTATTTGACAACAACAAGACCATATTTAATGTTCCCTACAATGTTGTTATCTAGATTCTTGAGTTCATCAACTGATGTTCATTTGGGTGTTTCTAAGAGAGTTCTCAAGTATGTGAAAAGCACAATGTGTGAGGGGCTGAATTATTTGAAGACTGGTAGTGTATTGTTGAATGGATACTCTGACAGTGACTGAGTCGGAAGTTTCGATGATATGAAAAGTACACATGGATATGTTTTCAACCTTTGCTTGGGTACAATCTGCTGGAGTTCAAAGAAACAACAAGTTGAGACTTAATCAACTGTTGAAGCTGAATACATTGTTGTTGCAGCAGCAGTAAATCAATCAATTTGGTTGCGAAATTTGCTTTCTGATCTTGGTTTGAGCAAGAAGGTGCTACTGTTCTTTTTTGTGACAACAAATCTGCTATTGCTATTGCTGAAAATCCAGTTCAACGTGGCAGAACAAAGCATATCGATGTGAAGTTCCATGCAATTCGTGAAGCTGAAAAAAATTTGCAGATCAAGATAAAATTTTGTTCTTCTGAAATGTAGATTGCTGATTTGATGACGAAGGTTCTTTCAAGGAATATAATTTCTTTTCTCAAACATGAGCTTGGTATGACCAATATCAACCTCACGGTGGAGTGTTGATGTCTTTAAGTTTGATACTGGAAATCATATATTAGGTTGCAACCCAGAACCTTAAGATTGAAAGCAGATATTAGGTTGCAATTGGAAATGAGAAATTAGGTTGCAATTGAGAATTTAGGTTGCAACAGGTTTTGTCTTACATGCCAGCTGTAATGATGTCTATTAGCTGTTTTTGAGTCTGTTTTAAGTTAAGTGTTTCTTTTATACTAATGTTTGACAGCTCTACATTTCAAATTATTGTGGTTTGTAATCCTATTAAATGAAATTGTTAGAATGATGAGTGTAGTGAAAACCTCTCTATCTTTGTTTAGACCTTTTGCATTCTTTTCTCTCTTTTTTTTCTGCTCCTCTCCTTTTTGCTTTCAAGCTTGTTTTCTTGGTTTAACATTAACATCTTAAGCCAAGGGAAAGTAGACTGAAAACATTAAGAATATGAATGATGATTAGATCACATAAACTTTTAACTAGAAATTGAAACGGACCACGTGAACGGATCCCCCTCTGCAACAAATTATGACCTACGCCATGAGCCTTGTTGCCACAGGTTTGGCAACACCTCAAGCAGTTCACTTTGGTATGAATTGTCATATACGGAAGCTAAGGGTAAGATTAGGAAAGGGGACAAAATATGAGAAACAACATTCAGTTCTGAATTCAAATGTAAAAGTGCAGTGTGGAAAGCCTTTAGGTTTGTAAATCCAACAAAGGAAAAAAACCTATGGATGAATGAGATCCATAATTTCTCAGTTGATGTTCCAAGGATATCAACCATCTAAATTTCAGATTGTGTTGATGTCGAAACATGAGCCATTTTTTTCTTTCTAAAAGAGATCACTGCATATGTGAGGCTTAGGATATGTTTCAAGACTTCATCATTGATTAAAAGATTGAATTGGAATTGGAATTGGAATGAGAAATAAATCAAATTTATTTGAACTGTAATTCAATTGATTTATGTTATAACAATAAAAAAGACAATAATCGTGATATCTTTTATTTTCGGGTTGTGATTTCTCTAATTAGGAAAAGTTTTCCTACAGGTGAGCAATAACAAGTCTAGTCTACGCAAATGCTTTGATTAAAAACTGTGATATAAGTTAGTTCCAAATTGGCAGGCAAGTGGACTGTAGAACAAGCGATTTGATAATAAAAATCATGAGATAAAATATAATATTACACTACATCAATCACTCTGTATGTGAAATACATCTTCTTCCACAGTCAACAATTTAACAATTGGTAAACTTGGTTATTAAACAATGAAAACTTTTAATTAGAAATGAAAAAGGGGTCTCGCGAACGCAGGCCCCCACTGCCAGAAATAATGACGTATGCCCTCCCACTTGAGGAGACCTTAAGCAAGTGCACCTTCCAAGTGCAATGAAAGCCACCAGCCTAGGCCATGAGTCTTATTGATCACCCATCGACCCCGTCCAGGTAAGTATATTTCAAGGTTCTCCCATGCTTATTCTTTATACGTCTAGCTAACCTCTCCTCTACTTTCTTCTCGATGTGGGTTTCGAGCTCTCAAAGTTGTGCATACTAAATATTTTTTATTATTATACAGGTGCACCCAAGTTTTGGAATTGCCATTTTCATCAGTGATTTGTCTAATAAAACTGAACTTGTTGCTCAAGTTGAATAGTGAATGTTTTATTTTGTTTTGTTGAAAATTTGAATTGATTGATTCCAAAGATATAGGTGCGTCTTTATCATGAATATTTTTGGCTCCACTAATTTGCAGTTCCTCGTGGTGTAATATATGGTTGTGGTGACATACATACGAGCAACTTATAATTGATAGATTTCTGGTGGTATTGTTTGTGTAATTGCAGCTGTTTGAAGGCAGTTTGCTTGGTTGGTAGCTATTGTCTGTAATATATTACAACAGAATTGCCCAACAGAAGCAGTGGAAATTTACCTATGTTGCCACCGTTGAGTACCAAAGACAAGGATAGTAAAACCAAAGAAGAGAATCAAAAACTCTTGATTGGAAATTGTGTGGACCCTGAAGATTGGATATAGTGATTTCATTTGTTGACTATTTGAATACCTTCATCTCATATGGAATTTATGTTGGAAGCATAAGTGGACACTCTATAAATAATCTCTCTTTCTCTCGATTTTTACTCATACATACATGCATTTTAACTTTAATCATTTGAGTCTTTATATAGGCATTAATAACAGCCTCATTCTCTTCAATTGTCTTAATTCTCAATCAGCAGAGTTTCTGATTTGATTTTACAAGAAAACTCCTAACAGTCTTTTATCGCATTCTTTCTGCCTTTCTTACATCTATATCTTCAAAATGCATACATTATGAATATACCAGCCAAGTTTCAATATAGTAAATACTGGCAATAACAAGCATGGATTTATATTTGAAAATAAAAGCATGAGATTATTGAATTTATAAATTCCTTAAGACATTTCAAATCCACGCATTCGACTAATCCATAGAGTTGAGAAATAAACATGAACACTACATTTCTATTGCTATGCGTGCTATCACTCAATTTACATTTGAAATCCAATAACCACAAGGCGAAAAAACTGTGGAAACTTGCAGAACGGTCTCAACCTAATATATATATCCAATGACTATCGACTAACAGCATTGACTTACACCACCAAAGCTGCTGACAAGGACTCTGGCTAAATATGGTATAAGATGATCGCACAACACTTTCCAAAGAAATATATCAATAACAGCAGGAGAAGAAGGCACTACCATCTCATAATAATTAGGAAACTTGGATTGATGTGGGGGCATTCAACAAGGAAAACCCTTCCAAAAATTGGCGTATGCCGCTTTTAATGGAGAGCACACAGTATTTTTTAGTAAAAGGCGAAAGAATTGTTCGCTCGTGCTCACCGCACGGTGAGTTTAAATGCTTGCTACATTTTGCTTTATAAACACGAGGAGTACCTGCAAACTTGATTTCCCAGTGCGATGCGGGACTTGTGAACAGAATCATTCACTTGTCCAATTTTATCAGCTTATGTCACGGAATTCTTTGTGACTCGTGATATTAAATTCTGCTCTCTTTGTGATTTCTTTTAAAAGTGAAGGGAAGAGCTAAGAACCTACAACGAATGCTTCAAATGAAATTTCCTGCAGGGGGAATTAGCAGTAACCATTACTTTTACTTCAAAAATGAAGGTGTGGAAATCAATTTCAATCTGGTTGGGGTGGATATAATGTCTTAGGTTAGCTTTGATTCTAACAAAATATCTGAGACACAGAATTAACATAGTTTACCAAAACCAGAAGGTCAGTTAATGTGTAGAGTAGCAAACACCAATAATCAGTGCCATTAGTTTTAGACTTTCTGCTAACATACATACAAAGATAACGTATTTTGTGATTTGGATGAACGATGCAAGCATTTTCCACTGCTTACAATGCAACCGCGGGAAATGCTCCAATCTCTGCCTATCCTAATAAAATCCCAACTCTTTCAATCAGGAAGAGTACCCGTCACTGCTAAACCCCTTCAAAACTCGTATCTATACAAGTTTGAACAACAAATCCAAATTTATCAGAATCAAGGGATATTGCTATTACCACATTGGTTGATCTTCTGTTTTAATAAATTTCAACTCCACAGCCAACAACAATTAACACTAGGTAAGCTTCATTATTAGACGAAAGATACATTTAACTAGAAATGAAGAAGGGGCCGCGCGAACGCAGGCCCTACTGCCAGAAATAATGACGTAGGCTCTCCCACTTGAGGAGACCTTAGGCAGGTGCACCTTCCAAGTGCAAAGAAAACCACCAGCCTAGGCCATGGGTCTTATTGATCACCCATCGACCCCGTCCAGGTAAGTATGTTTTAAAGGTCTCCCATGCTTTATCTTTATACGTCTAGCCAACCTCTCCTCTTTACTGTCTTTCTCGATGTGGGTTTCGAGCTCTCAAACTTGTGCGTGCTTCATTTTTTTTATTATTATACATGGGTACCCAAGTTCTAGGATTACCATTTTCATCAGTAATTTGTCTAATAAAACTGAACTTACTGCTCAAGTTGAATAGTGAATGTTGATAAGTTTTGCAATTTTAAACATTTACTCACAATTGTTTCTTTTCTTTGTTTATTTTTGCTGAAGGCTCTCCGAATTATCACATTTTATTCTACTCAGCTTGCGGGATCAAATTATCATTACCCAGAAGTATAGTATTGTAATTATATGTGAGCTTGCCTTTAATTTTATGTTTACATTTTGAATTTTAAGATCATTTGGTAAATAATTGTGTTTCTTTTAAGACCAGGGTGAGCATTTGTTTATGGTTTTTCATGTTGAATCATCTCATAACTCTACTTAGGTTGTGGATAGTGGTTGTACCAGTCACAAGAAACTCGTGGATGCATACTTTAACAACCTTTATAAGACTTTTAAGATAAATGTGAAGTTAGGAAATGGTGTCACAGTTCAAATTCAAGGCAAAGACTCAATTTCCGTGAATATTATACAAGGTAAAAGAACAATCTATAATATTCTTTTTGTTCTTGATTTAGATCAAAATCTTCCGAGTATTCCTCAAATGATTAAAAATGATTTTAGTGTTCAGTTTAAGGGTGATTTCTACAACATATTTGATGTTTGTGGTTCTAAGTTCGTTGAGCTGAAAATGAAAAATAATAGATTTTAATTGAAGCTTGATGTTGATTGTGAACATGTGTACTTGGAAAAAGATGATATCAATCCTATTTGACATACAAAGATAGGTCATTTTAATCTTAGAACTTCAAAGTATATACAACCAAATGGTTTTGTAACATATTTGTCTGAGCTTAATATTTGTTATGATAAATGTGATAGTGGTCAATTTGAAAAGTCTTATAGACTGTGATTTTCTCATAATTGTGTGAATAGAGCAAATATGAATTACATTTATGGAAAATATTTTTCAGAAAATATTTTTTATATAATTATATTTTATAATTACAATGTTTGTTTGTTTCACTCAAAAGAGTTTCTGGAAAACATTTTACAGTGTTTGGATGGTACATTGTAAAATATTTTACACTGTTTGATTAATTTTTTTGAAAACAATTTTCAGAATCTGTTTTTAATAAAAAAGTATACATGTTTGATATGTTTTTATTCTTTACCTCAATTTTAAAGGTTCATTTTATTTTTATATAATTATATTTTATAAAAATATGTATTTTTATAAGTACGTCAAACTAAATTTTTAGATAATATTAATAATTTATGTTGATTATGTTATAAATACACTATTTTAGGTTTAAAATCTTCATGATGCTTATTCATTCGTATTTTTAGAAATGAATTTCAACGTATGATTAATATTATGTAGGTTTATTTGATATAATATTAATAATTGATTAAAAATATATTATAAAAGTTTATAAATATTATGTAGGTTTACTTAATAGTACACCACATTAAAACAACAATAGTACATAACATTGTAATAATAGTAATAGTGTCAAAATATATAATTAAAATGTTTATCACATTAAAACAACAATAATATCCAACCGTAATAATACAAAGTCTAATTCATACATATTGCAAATGTTCCTCAACCTAACAACAGTGATTTTCAACAATGCATCATGAACATCTTTATATGCTTATTAAAAACTGCAGTAGATCTCATGTCTTATACCTTACACAAGCTATAAGCAGTACAAATGTATATATGGTCCCAAAAAAAGAGTTAAACATACATATTGCAAATGTTTCAGCAATATTAATCTAGAGACAATTCCATAAAGTTTATCTTTACAAGTTGAGAAAAGATGTTTCTTAGGATGTAACCAATAAAATTATGTAATTCAACTGAAAGCCCTAACCTTTAAATCTTACCAACTTTTCTGAAGGATCAAGAGTCCAATGATCTTTCCTCGAGTTGTTAGAGATGTTGACAGCATCATGTTGAGACAATCTTGAGAGCATCTTCCACATAAATTCTTTTTCCTCATAATTTTTCCAGTTGTTGTGTGTCGCATTACTGCTTCTACCAGAAATGTTACGTCTTGCCAATAAATGAGGATCAGCATTTCCAGACTTGGATGTCGGGTAATTTTTAGATCCATGTTTAATATTGAAACCATTCCTCTGGCTGGAAATAGCCTTAGTAACACTGGCTCTTCCAACACCCACACCTTTAGTTTGTGAAAGATCAGTAACACCAATGTTCTTATTACAAACTGTTGAGTAAAATTTAGAGTATACAACTCTAAACTTACTAATATTGGACCCAAACAAGTAAACAAATTACTTGTATTATACCCACAATAAAAGACACTAAAACACTTTCCAAAGACCACTCACAATTTGAAGAGAAATAAACACTCAATAGAAAGGTCACAACTTATACTAAAGACACTACACTCAAATTTTTGGAGGATGTATAACTCAAATGCAAGGGAGATATTTATAGTCCTCACCATGTAACCTACACCATACAAATATTAAATTGAGAAATATTCCTAGCCATACACTATTACCAGCTACTCCACTACTCCATTAAATTGAGATAAGCAATGACATCTTCACTTAACTAAATTGATGTATACAATGACATCAAATTAAGTTGGGTGTGGGCTAATATTGATTTGTCAACACTTCCCCTCAATGTTAGCCCCCATTCTTTGAATCACACCAAGCTGATGATAAAAATGTTCAAACTTTCAAATGCTCAAGCTTTTTGTAAACAAGTCCACAATTTGCTCTATATTGACTTGCATAATCTCAATCTCTTCCACTACCCTCGTCTTTTGGCCTTGCTTTGGAAGTCTTGCTCTTTTTGACTCCAAATTCTCTGATGGACTCGGATGTTGTCATGGTTTTAGACAACTCCTTGACTTCCCTTCGCTCCAACATTTTCTTTGTCCATGGCTTCAATCCGAACATGAAGGTGAAGAAACCATCTTCTTCAGTCAAACTCAGGACTTTGAACATGAGTTTTCTAAATCGGCTCACATACTCCTTAAGTATCCCTTTATGCATGATATGTCTCAACTTGGACCATACCTCCATCCTGGCATATTGTAAGCGAACTTGCTCACTTTGTACCCTCAGCTTGACGGCTTATCTTTCGCTATCGCACTGGGTCCCTTCCTGTGCTCGAGTGCTTTGACACTTGCAATCTCGTCATGTCTTGATCCTAGATTGACTACTTGAGAACATGTAGTCGCACCATGCTGCCCTCTTGATTTTGCTACTTTAGAACATGTAGCCTCACCAAGTCCTTCTTCTGACCTGATTACTTGGACACTCGCAATTGCATCAGACTTTCCTCTGGGTTCGACTGCCTCAAAATCAACAACCTTCCCTCGTCTTGTTCCTTGCTTAACCACATTGACACCTTCAATCGGACCAAGTCTTTTCCCTGGCTTGACAGCTTTAACACTTGCAGCTGCACCAATTCCCGCTACTTCTCCTTCTCCCATCTTCTTCATGATAGTTGCAAGGAGACGCTTCTTGGGACATCCTCTAATCAAATGAGGACCATCACAGAAGTAGCACTTCAGCTTTTTCTTGCTCGTCTTCTTCTTTACACCGGACTTAGTCTTGTCATTCTTTCCCGATGGCTTTCCTTGGCTACGAACAGTCGATGGCTCACCTTGGCCATTCGAAGAGCTTTCTTTACCATCTCCCTGATGCATCTTTTCCCGGTCTCCCCACTATTTCTACTATTCCTAGGCATGGATCTGGATGACACAATGCTAGTTGGCTTGTCTCTCGTAAGCTCGGTTAGCTTTCCGGCTACAGCTATGGCTTCTGAAAGTCTCTGGGCATCACCTTGCTCTCCCCCGAGCATTACCCCTGGTCTGAGTCCTTCCAAGAAGGTCTTGAGCACACCCCATTCACTCATTGCTCCATTGCATATGATCAGTTCTT